CCCTCCCCCTATGAACATCAGCAGTCTCTGCTCAATGCCACTTGGGGGGACCAACGGCATATCTCTAGGTGGCGGGCGCCAAGCTTGCCCAGGATGGTACATGAGGCCAATGGGCTGGTCAGTTCAATGATGAATCTCAAGGCCGTCGCCCTTGGAAAGGGAGAAAAAAGGGAATACGTCAGTTCAGAGCCCTTTCTTCTGTTTCGTTTAGGCAACTGGGCAAAAAAAGGGAATACGTCAGTTCAGAGCCCTTTCTTCTGTTTTCTTTAGGCAACTGGGCCAGAGTGCCGTGCCGTGTGTAGAGTTTGCAGAAATAACAGGACACTGCAGGTGCGGGTGGAGAGCATTTACAAACTGCAAAAAAAAGCAGGTACCCCTACCCGTCCTGCCAGTTCAACAATTGGCAAAACTGGGAGGTACGGGTACCTTCACACCGGTTGTTTTACCATGGGCTGGGACAGGAGCAGGTAACTGTATGACCTGTATCCGCTCCAGTAGCCTTTTAGTTTTGTTTTTTTTTTGTTTTTTGTTTTGTTCCCCCGGAGGGGAGGAGGGCTGCGCCACACTCTGCTGCAGTGCAATACAGAGGCAACGCTGGAGGGGTAGAGCAGGCAAGCCTACCCATATGACCCCTCAGAAAGATTAATTTAAGAAACAAGTGCAATAGTAGCACACTTTCAAACTGTAAAGGCAAAAAAAACACTAATGGGCAACGGAAAAATGGCCGCAGTTCGAAAAGGCAGTCATAACATCAGAAGGTGGTGACATCAGGCCCCCAGTTTGAAAAGGGCGGTTGTAGCGTCCTTTTTCTTTTTTTTCTTTTTTTTCCTTCGATGGCGCGTCATGCCGCGTTTTTTTTTTTTTTTTTTTTCCGGATGCGCATCGCACCGCGCCATGCCGTGGCTGAAAAAAAAAGAAAAAAAAAGAGAAAACTACGGCGCAGTCCGGGATTGAGTTTGTAATTGCAGTTAAGGCAAAAGGGCCGGTAATGCTGAATGTATGTGACCTACGTTTCGGGTCCCGTGGGGTCGCGTGGGGGTGTGTTGTATTCGCGGGATTGCCTGAAGTGCAATTACAAACTGTTTTCGTGACTGCGCCGAAGTTACCCCAAAAGACAGGTCTCGGCCACACCCCAGATTGGCCACGGCCGTGCTACCGCCCTTTTCAAACTCGGGGCCTGATGTTACCGCCTTCTGATGTTATGACTGCCTTTTCGAACTAACGCCATTTTTTCGTTGCCCATTATTTTTTTTTTTTGCCCTTTTGAACTTCATTTGTGACACAAACGTACTTGCCCCTTAATTTAATATCGTAGTGGCCCGATGGACCACAGATCAGATATTAAACTGATCAGAACAGATCCTACACTTGATCTTAGCCAAAAGACCGAGAAGGGTATTTGCTTTGTTTTTTCGTTTTTTTTGTTTTTTTGTATGTTTGTTTTTTTGTGTTGCCTCTTTACAGCTGCTTTCAATGCCATAGCATCTCGTTCTTTTCTTTATCTTTTTCCCATGGATAGCCTATATGTCTCAGCCATGTGACCAGGCCCCTTTTTTGCCGTGGCCGTTTCCCAGCCACGGGTGTGGCCTAGACATCTCGGCCATGGCCCAGCCAAGGCCGTGGCCTCGAAGGAAAAAACAAGCAACAACCAGTGACCGCCTGATTTTGCCACTTCCGAACTCCCAACCGGCTGTGCTTGCCTTTTGCGAAGGAATTACTGGGAATTTGTTATCTGACGGCTGGCATGCACCGCTTCGTCGAGGGTTAGATGCTTTAGGGATATCTCTGAAATTGCACGTGTTTGTATTTGTTTTTTATTTGGTGAGTTTTGGTGATCTCTTGTTGAGTCTGTTTTCCTTTTTTCTCCCCCTTGCTTCTTTGTAGAGACTTATAGTGTCTTGTAGGGCTTCTTTGATGAGTGTGCCGCTGTGTATTCTTGAGTTGGCTCCCGGTTATGCTAATTAGACGCGGTCTGTTGGTCCGTTTGGTTCGTTGTTGGATTATCTTGCTCGAACAGTTGGCCCGTGGTCCTATAGGTAGGCAACCCTATTGTTTTTGTTGCTGAGTCCTGTTCGACGCTTGTTGGGGCTGGTACTCTCTTCGATACCGTACTTGAACGTGAAGTGCGTCGAATGCATAGGTGGGCGACCCTAATTTGATCTGTTGCTGGCTTCTGGTTCGAGGCAGGGCATCGAGGCGGAAGATACTAGGAGGTTATGGTGTTGCGGACTGACTGGCTATATTAGTTTTGCTTTAAATTAAGTGTGTTGGGTACGGTGGGTTTGCTGTAGAGAGGTTACTTTATGTATCTTCTGGTTGAACTCTTTCGGGTTTTCTAGATTGTTTTCATGACTGTGGTTTCTCTTCGTTAGGGTTCTTTGGCGAGAGTAGATTAGTATTTTAGGTTTTGGATTATGGTATACTAGGGCGGGGCTCCGAGCTCCTGGAGGGGCAGGACAACCCGACTGTCCTTGCTATTGGCTACTTTGATGATGTAATACGCCTTGGGCACTGGGCCCCGTTAATAAAAGTGCAATTTCGGTTAAAAAAAAAAAAAAAAAAAGGAGAGAAAAAAAAAAAAAAAAAAAAAAAAAAGACAACAAAAAAAAAAAAAAGTTTTTTTTTTTTTTTTTTTTTTTTTTTTTTTTTTTTTGAAGGCCCTTGTGCAAGACCTCTATCCTGGTGGTGGTAAGAGAACCACCGGGATTGAGGCTTTGCCTAGCGGGCCACTCCATCTATTGGTGGGGAGCAGCACCTGCTGGAAACCGGGTCCAGCGTCCCAAAGATACATCTTTGCCACACAGTACATCAATGAGAGTGACGCCAAAGTGCTGGAAACCGGGTCCAGCGTCCCATGTCCACTCTGCTCTTCCATCCCTAACCTGCAGCAGGGTCGGGTATTGGGGGGGCGCCACCGGGGGGCACCGGTGGAGTCTCCCTCCATCCCCTAGCCTCTGCCATCCACCCACTATCCTCATGGCGCCCATTGAAGCATCAGAAAACATTCTTTTTGAGAATCACTAAAGGGTAGTACTGAAAATTCCTGAGGATTGTGTGGGGAGCCTCACCTGCTGGGAACCGGGCCCAGCGTCCCATGAATACATCTGTACAAACCAGCACCCCTCCCCTAGCTCCTGTGCTCCCCCTACAGTCCTCATGATGTCCCTTTTTTTACATCAATGTCTGTGACGCCATTGTGCCGGAAACCGGGTCCAGCATCCCATATCCTTGTCTATTTTGCCGAAACCAATCCGGCAGCAGGGTCAGGTATCGGAGGGGAGCACGGGGGGGCACCAGAAGGGTCTCCTCCAACCTCTGACCCCTGCCGTCCACCAACTATCCTCATGGCGCCTATTGCTGAGCATCATGGGACTCAATCAGAATTAGCACAGCAAATGCCTCAAACTTTCTAAACAGTGGTTCTGACGTATGACCACATCAGACACCTGGTCAGGCCCTGGTCAGACCCTACTTCTGAGCAGATTGAGTGACGAGCCGTAAGAGCAGTAAGAAGGAGCAAGAGCAAGAAGGAGCAAGAAGCAAGCGAAAAAGCGGCAAAGAGAACTGGAGAGACAGAGGAAGAGGTAGAACAAGAAGAAGAATCAAATAGTCCAAAGGTAATCAAGGCAAGGCCTCATAACCAGGAGACACAGGAAAACCCCGGGAGGTCTGGGAATGGCCGGAGAATGCCCGGACTCATGCAGCTGGTGATATTTCTGGCAGAGACAACGGGTGCGGTGGGAAGGGGTCTGCAAAGTCCTGGGCAGGGCGCAGTGGGGTATTAGGATCAATCTTCGTCCAATC